TTTTCTCGGCTTCTTTTGTTAATCTTGCTCTTATTCGTTTCACTGAGATCCATAGAAATCATGCCATTGGTTTCTTCCCCTATGAATTTCTTCGAAGCTGTGGAAAATTTCGTTTGGCACGCCATTTGCACTTCGAGATCATGATTATGATCTTTATCAAGACGATCTACCATCCAGCTTCCACAGTCTTTCCTCTTAATCCTCATAAATGCCCCACAACCTACTCTTGAGGGATGCTGGAAACCTTCCTTCGAGCACACAAATCTTCGAGAAGTAATTGACCCATTATTCTTTGAGCGAAACAACTGGCCAACCCGAACTCGAAACCCAACACTTTCAGCATATTCTTGATAATGATCTTATGCTTCATTAGTTGTATTAAACTCTAGACCTTTATATGGTTCAGCTCTAGATTGCCTTCCATCTCCACCTCGCTTTTGCATTTTGAAATTTATGATACCCGATGGAATTGGTTGTCCATTACCTATTTGCCCCAGCATTTTGACTTTCGGCATACGCAACACTTCAACCAACAATTTCATAACAACGGGAGGTCCCTGCTGCAAAACGGGCGAACTGCTTTCCCCTTCAAGCCCAAGTTCATGATTATGATCCTTCTAAATTTGGTCAATAACCCACTTCCTGGAATCACGCCTTTGCACCCTAATGAAAGCAGGGCAACCCGTCCTTGAATTCAGCTGAAACCCTTCCTTCAAGCAAATGAATCTTCTTGATGAGACCGACCCATCTCTCCTCGACCGGTACAACTGACCAGTTCGAATTCTAAACCCAACACGCATTGCAGACAGACCGTAGAACTCAAGCGCCTCATCGTCTGAATCGAACTCCAAAACGATAGACCGGGAAGGCGTTTACAACCATCGGATTCATACATTCTCCATTGCTCGAATTAGTATCTAAGCTGTCTTCATTAAAAACGAATGGATAGGAGAAGATTATCACAATACAGCTAAGATCGTTCAAGCTCAACAAACTTCAGCCATGCTAAAAAAACATGAAAATTTAACATAATCTGATAATTTGATGAAGAAATTAAGAGAAACCCAAAAATTCAATCATAAAAACATAGCTAAAAAAGCATCAAAACTAAAATAATAACAAGAACAACATGATTAATTGGAGACTAAAGACAAACTAAAATCAAGGGTTCCACGCATCCAACACACAGTTTCGCCTAACAAGTGAAAAATCATTTTACCTTCTGAAATCTGTGAAGTGCCTTGATCCTGAATAAATTTCCATATCTGGGCCTACAGTTCAGAACCCATAACACTAAATCTGTGAAATCTGGGTCTGATTTATCTCCCCTTTTTGAGCGGGAAATCCTGTGGCAAATAGGAACTTAAAATTAAAAAAAAACAAGGGTAAGGGGTTCGAAAGGAGGAAAGAAAGAAGGTTGGTGATGGAGTTTTTGGTTCTTAATCTTCCATTGACATCTTGCTTCAGCTTTGGGCTCTTCTCTCGTCTGCCTTCGTTTTACCGTCATTTTTTTGTTTATTATTGTGTGCATATTTGAATTTTTTTAATATTATGTACTCTCTCTGAATTCTAGTTATTCTTTTTCTCTCTTTATATTTCATTGTCTTAATTGAATTAACTACACCACACATCCTTGAACTATAACCTTCATTTTAAATTGATCCATAAACTTTTAAATACTCCAATATCACCCTCAAAGTAACTCTCATTTTAAATTGATTCTCAAACTTTTGAGCATTCCAAATTACAACTCTCATTCAAAAATTTAGGGATAAAATTGAAACATTCAAAAGTTTCATGACCAATATTGAATGATGGTCATAATTTGAGAATTTTAAAATATTCAAAAGTTTGAAGATAAATTTAGAATAAGAGTCATAGATTGAGGTTGAAATTAAATATTTAAAAGTTTATGGACTAATTTAAAATGATAACTATTGTATGATAACAACATTTATTATAATAGAGGATTAACTTGTCACGAGATAACGAGTTTTAAGAAAATATAATTTTTTATTAGAATTTGTTACGAGGGGTGACAAATTCCAATAAAAAAAATATATTTTATTAGAACTCGTCGCCCCCACGTAACTAGTTCCAAGCCATTGTAACAATTATCGTAGATTACTAATTAGTTTTAGAACCGTCCTATAAGCTGAAATAATTAATCCGCCTAGATTATTAGGTTAATTTTGCCACATCAAATAGGGTATTTATTACATATTTAAAAGTATATATTTCATTTAGAATTTGATCTAACTCTTAGTTGGATATTTATTATTAAAATAAATTGGGAATTCAAAATAATCAGCGCAATTAATTTAGACTATAACATGAGTGATTTCAAAATAATTATTTTTGTGGTTAAAATAATGATTATTATTATTAGAGGTTCCATATTTGAGTATCGACGACTATAACATGAGTGATTTCTCGGTTTAAAAGATCAAAATTGTTTCTCGATCTTTTATGTTAATAGTCAAAATAAATAAATGAAAAATAATGTTTTAAATTTTTTAATATATATATATATATATATATTATTAAAAAACATGTATGGTATCAAATATATATTTACACGTGTTGCTCAAATGATGGTGATTTATATATATTCTCCTATCATTCTAAAAATACATAATACTTAAATTCTTTTAAAAAATCGTATATAAATAATATTTAAATTATGACAAAAAAATTATTGATTTTAAGTTGTTAAAAAATCATAATGTTAAAAAATAATTTATTAAAAAATAATTCTTGTAAGAAAAAAACTCATTATGGGTTTCCTCACCCATGTAGAACGTCGGAAAAAAAATTCTCTATATAAGATTGTACCCAAATTATTTCTTGAATCGGAGTGTTTGCTAAAGTTACCTCATTAGTCGCCAAGTATTACATAGGTCGCCAAATGCTCCTTGCGACAAAGTCTCCTCTGTTGCAACAACTCTTCTCTGTTGTAGCAACTCTTCTCTCTTCCCTCGCTGTTGCAGTTTCATAGGTCGTCGTGTGCTTCTGGAAACCTATAAAGGTCGCCATGTGCTCCTGAAGACCTATGGTGATCACTGTAACAATCACCCTACTTGAACAAATAATTATTCGACTACATTATGTGAAGAATTTTTTTTCCATTGCATTATTCAAACACTTTTACCCTTGGGTAACTTTGACCCGCAATAACGCTCTAAGCTTAGTCAGAAACAACAAATCTTCAGCCAAACACAGCTCCATTAAACAACCATAAACTTTAAACAACACCTTTATAAATATTAATTTCATTGAAAAATAATTAAAAAAAAGTATAAAAACACTCATAATATAATTACTTTTTTTTTATTTAAGCCATTGAATAACAACTTTAACTATTTCATAGATAGTGTTAATCTTAAAAAGCACTTATATTAGCGTAGTATGTATATTACTCTCTTATTCTAGTATTTCAACTGTGCTATTTTTACAAGCACTGTTGTTTTATGCATGTGCGATATATTGTGAAACATGCGTAGGGTTTACTGATTCAAAGTCTTCAACGGGGATACAGAGCTTTTATACCCTTTTTATCGTCATCGGTCAGGACCCTTTTGATGATTCCAGGTCGAAAATAGGCATACATGACGGCAGATTTCTTGTGGCTATGGCCAAGGCCGAGAGCATGTCCGAATTCATGCACAGCAACTGATTGCAAATCTACTTTGCTTTTAGCTTTAGAAGGATCAGAGGTCCAATTCCATCTTGTATTAAAGTGAACCAAGCCATATCATGGGCAAATTCGGTGTCATTGAAAGGGTGACCATCCCCATGATTTCCATGCCTTTGCAAAAATGGGACTCAGTGTACCTTCTGTAAATCCCTTTACGGAAATTTGGATACTCCAATCAAGAACCCTTGTCCTCCACCTGCTCCCTATTCTAACCATCAAAACATTTACTACTACTAAGGATCAAGGATCTCAGTGAAATACTATTTCCTATTGTAATTAATGTTTTAATAATTTAAAATGACTAGTATCATTAAAGTAATAAATATATATACCAATATTTTAAAATTATGATAAAGTACAAAAATAGTCTCTGAGTATAAAGTATTATTTTGTTAAATCTCAATTATTAAAAATTATAAAATATTTCTGACTATAAGGCGTTACTTTATTGAGTCTTTCCACTATTAAAAGTTACAAAATAGACACCTCTTATTCATATATTTCAAACTTATCATTTTCTATTAAAAAATTGACGGTCGTGTAAGTTAGACATTAACCTATTCAATGTGATATTATTAAAAAAAAGTGAATAAATTGTAACATTTAGAGAGAAAAAAGTGATTTTTGTAACCAAACTAATAATTGAGGGACCTCAAATATATTTTACCATAAAAGATAATCCCCGTGTCAATTTCACAACAAAAGGCAAAATAGTTCATGATCATACCAAACTGAGATACATGTACTTTTATCAAAGCCAACACATTATAAACAATTAGGGATGTGAAATCACCACCCACCTCGGGTCACAAATATTTTTGACTTCTGACTCGAATCAAAAGGGTCACAAATAGACTCAAGTCGGTTTCAATCAGTTTTACAGGTCAAGTCAGATTTTTATATCCTTACAAACAATCACTACAATGACATAAATATTGTAGCGCCTTGTCGCAAAGTATTCATAGGAAAACAATCTGATCTCTAACCCCATGAAAGGCATAGACAAATCTGACCAAATGCTTAACAAAAACACAGATCATGATCAAGAACATCGAAGAATCACACTCACTGCTTATCGATCGTAGCGGTTAACATTCAGATCAAACATACCAGATGTAGAATCAATTTCGAACAAACATAACTACCCCAAACGTTTTACATGGAACAGATTAATAGTAAAATGACAAATAATTGAATTATTGAATCCAATCACCGAGAACTATTTACCCAAAGAACTAAATGTTTAAGTGATCTTTTTTCATATATGCCAAACTATGTTTACCTGATAAATTTAAAACTTGATTCCGATTCGTTCCGATACCGAATTACCAGTACCGTATCAAGCTTTAACCAGTTGATCCTCCTCCTCATCATCATCATCAATATCCCAACTCAAATCCTCCTCTTCCTCTGCAACAGTCAATCGTTTACGCAGATCAACTCTATTACTGCTCCCGACAACGTCCCCTTTACTGTCATTGAAGCTCTGAATGTCGCCGATTGCATCCCACCCTTCCTCCTCAGGGATAGACACACTTGATACCACGGATACATCACTATCCTTGCATGAACCTGCTTTCTCCTCGTCAAATTTCAAAGGCTTCTCAACATTTTTACTTGAATCATCCTCCTCGGTATTAACATTTCCACTATTCTCCTCATCATCCTCATCAATATCCCAGCTCAAATCTTCTACTTCCTCTCCCGATATCGCACGATTAACGAGCTTAGCTCTCGCTTCCTCCACTTTCATTAGCCTATTCAACTTATAGAAGTAATTGCACCAATATCTCTTTGATTCTCCATAATCAGAATCCACCTCTTTGAAAATATCTCGAATAACAGTATTTTCAGTTAACAAATCCTCAATTTCGCTTTTTTTCTCTTCTAAATTAAACCCTAATTTCCAATTCCCAAAATCCTTCAAATCCTCTGGTTCCATACAGTAAGTACTTCTATCTGATTGAAGCGCTCTAATTTGCATCTCAAAACGACTGTAACGTTTTCCATTAATTCTGTTACTACTAATAATACTTGATCTTCTATTAATAGAACTTCCGGTATCAGAATTATCATCGTCGGAGGGTGATAAGAACGTGTCTTTACCGTGAGAGATGATCTGAGCCGTTGATTTCCAAACGGAGACGCCGATGTCATCAATGGCTTGTCCAACTGACTCGAGCTTCTCCTGAGCAACGGTGGCGCCGATCTCGAGGGAATCGTTAACGGCACGTGAAGCCACGCTCCGGATGATCTCGGTTTCCTTCTTTAAACCGGATCCGAATTCGTCAAATTCCTTCCGGTAAGATTCCATCACGGATTCCGACTTGTCGGCAAGCGTTTTCATCAGGCCGTTGAAACTCCACGTGGCAACCGATCCCGTGTTCGGATTCGGGTCGGTGTGCGGATGCGAGGGTTGAGATATATCGTCGGCTAACACGGATTTGAAGAAATCCATTGGAGATTTAGCACAAAGATCAACTGGAAGACGAAAACTTTATTTTCTTCTTTAGTTTTAACAAAATTACATTTTATTAATATGAAATTATGGTTTGTGAATGGAAAGCGAAAGAGGAGAGAATTGGGAAATTTGTCACGTTATCATGGCAGTGGAAAGAGATTGAGATGTTTAAAGTTTTTAACAAAAAAATAAATAAAATCCTATTCTCATAGGCAATAGATAATAGGGTAGTAGGTTGTCCCAACGTCAGGTTGAGAGCAGCAGAAAATTAAAAATAAAGATAAAATACAATGCATGTATAAATAAATAAATAAATACATAGTTAAGCAGTAATCATATGCAGTCTTCATATGCGTGTCTACAAATAAATCCCTGCGTAAAAATCTCTGCATATAGACAGAAACGTAAGTCCCGGCTAAATTTAGAAAGAGAAAACATGAAGAGAATGATACATAGAAGTCAGAGATAGCAAGTTACGAGAAGGAATAAAGTCAAATGAGTTAAAACGTAAACTAAGGCAACACTACTCCGCTACCCTAGTTCTAAGCCTTTATAATTTTCAATGACAGAAACGTATAAAAAGTAGTAGTCATTGAAATTACTACAAAGGCATTAAAAAGAAGACAGAGATGCTACACCCTATGGATGTGACCCATACTACTCGGCTACCTGGTCTTAAGTCTCCATACTATCCTATCAGAGGTCATGTCATCGGTAAGTGTTAAATCCTTCAAATCAAATCTCAAGCAGCCTACCAACTTCCTCCTTGGTCATCCTCTCCTTCTGGCACCGTCGACTGTAATCGACTCTACCCTCATGACCGCATTTGACGGTTGACCGCATGCCCATCGAAGCATTCTCATTTCTACGGCCTCCATCCTCATTACGTAACCCTTCTTGATTGCCCAACATTCTGATCCATACAGAAACACTGGTCTTATTGTCATTCTATAAAATTTTCCCTTAAGTTTTAGAGGCACATTCTTGTCACACAAAACTCCAGTAACAGTCCTCCACTTTAGCCATCCCGCCTTTATACGGTGTGTAACGTCATCATCTACACCTCCATCTTTATGTATCATAGACCCTAGGTACTTGAAACAATCTTTTGAGGGGAGAACGTGTCATTCGATGCATACTTCTACATCTTAATAGTTTTGGTTCCCACTGAAGTTTGAACATAAATACTTTCTCTTTTCAATATTGATCCTTAGACTTTTTTCTTCCAAATCAATCTTCCAGGTAACCAGTCTACTATTCAGCTCAGTTTTTGTTTCAGCAACAAGGATAATGTCGTCAGCGAAAAGTATACACCATGGAACACCGTCTGGTGTCGCACAATAAATGTCGTCCATAATCAAGGTGAAGATGTAAAGGCTAAGAGTCGACCCCTGATGGAGTCTGATTTCCATCGCGAAAGCCTCGGTGTAGCCAACTGTAGTCCTGATGTATGCAGTAGGTCTCGTTTCCAAGGTCTTCCAGATTGTATCGCGGGGAACGCTATCATACGCCTTCTCAAGGTCAATGAACGCGCCTCCGTAGTAGACCTGTCTAGTATAAACCCAAATTGGTTTTTCGAAACCCTAGTAATCTGTCTCAACCTAGCCTCTATCACCATTTCCCATAGCTTCATGGTATGACTGAGTCGTTTAATACCTCTGTAGTTACCACAACGTTGGAGATCTCCTTTATTCTTATAGATTTGTATCACCGTAGACTCTCTCCACTCCTCTGGCATCTTGGCAGTCTCTAATATAATATTAAAGATGTGGGTCAACCACTTAACTCCCTCTTCTCATAGGGCCAACCACACAGTGATAGGAATTTGGTCTAGACCGACAACTTTGTCCTTTCCCATATTTCTAAGAGCCATTTTGACTTCCTCAATCCCAATCCTACTTGTAGGACAGTCATTGGCCGTAGTATGATGGTCGACTGACCCATCAATGATATTATCTCTACAGGGAGAGACACCGTCATTAAATAAGCCAAAGAAGTAACTACCCCAAACTCTCTTAATATCATGATCTTTCACTAAAAGAACACCATTGTTGTCCTTAATAAACCTAATGCTACCTAGATTATTTTTCCTATTCTCCCTGGATTTTGCAAGCCTGGAGATGTCGTTTTGTCTTTCCCTTGTGTCTAATCTACTGTACATTTCCTCGTATGCCTTATCCTTTGCTTTAGCCATTGTTTTCTTGGCTTCCCGCTTTGCATCCTTGTATCTTTGTTTAGCTCTCGATCTTTCTTCGTCGTCATTGCATTATAGAAACTCCTTGAAGCAAGTTTGCTTTGTCTTCACCTTAGTTTGTACTTCGTCGTTCCACCACCACGATTCTTTATGTTCCTTGGCCTTCCCTGTCGACAACCCAAAAGTGTTTTTGCCCACCTCTCTGATGGAATTTTCCATTACATATCTGCATTATTTGAGTTTGTAGTTCCAAAACCTGTATGAGACAAAACCTTACTCCTAAAGTCATCAGTTGTAGCTCTTTGGAAGAACTTGTAGCTCCATGTAAGTTCTTCCAAAGGATCCTAGGTTTACCTAGTTTAGCCCTCATATGAGTACTTCGCCCGTGGCGTACGCGGAACACCAAAACCAACAATATGTGTTGTGATGCACATGCCTCTTCAGGGAACACCTTACAGTCAATGCAAACCCATCGATCCCGATTTTGAACCAGGATGTAGTCGATTTGGGTACAATGTCCCTCGCTATGGAACATAATCAAGTTCACATCTCTATTGTTAAAGGAGTTAGTGACCACTATATCGTGTGTAGTAGCAAATTCAAGCAACGTACATCCCTCATCGTTCCTACTTCCAAAACCGAAACCCCCATGAACACCGTCATACCCGTCGATTGCACTACCTATATGGCCATTGAAGTCTCCCCCTATGAAAACTCTTTGGTCCTCCTGAATGTTCCTAAGTACATCATCTAACGAATCCCCGAAGCAACATTTTCCCCCTCCCCTAGGCCGACGTGTGGGGCGTACACTGAAGGACATTCATTACTTCCGCTTCTATAATAACTTTAATCATCATGATCCTATCACTGTAACTACAAACTTCAACTAAATTTTCCTTGAGCCTAGAGGATACCAAGATACCCACCTCATTTCTAGCTTTATCTACGCCTGAATACCATAACTTGTACCTGTTACACTCTCTGGCGCGAGCCCCTTTCCACCTAGTCTCTTGAATACATGCAAAATCTATTTTCCTATTACTTAGTATGTCGGTCAGCTCCAGCAACCTTGCATTTAATGTGCCTACATTCAACGTACAAACTCTAAGTCTAGTCTCATTGACACCACTCTATCGAGCCCGCCCCCTATACGCCCTATAGGATCTAAAAGAAGGACATGACCTCAAGTAATCATCTATAGCCGAAGCTATGAGGAACTATGAAAAAAGAATCCAAAGAAGACAGAAGATGCATCAATAAAACGCTAGAGAATTGAGGGGTACTAAGAAACCTAGTTGGTTACTTAATAGGATTTTAATTTATATAAAAACTATTGTTATTATTATTGCTAAAAGCCTAGTGTTAAAAGGGAAGAAAATAGAAAAATATTGATTTTTATTATTATGTGGGGTAAATATTTATGCATATATTTAATTGTTAAAAGCCTAGTGTTAAAAGGGAAGAAAAAAGAATACTATTGTTTGTAAATTTATAAAAAAAACGTTCTAATATTTACTGTCAAATTCAAAGTCTTTTTTTTTGAAAAATTTGAATTGAATACTAAGTTTATTGCTAGTAATTAGGTTAATAAAAATAATAAGTAAGTTTATTAACCATTTTAAGGTAAATAAAGTAAAACACTATAATACCCCTAAAAAGATTTTTAATTTAATATCAATTAATATGATAATGATTATAGCCGTGTAGTAAGTGATAATTCCAAAATAAAAAAATTAAAGGCCGAATCAACCAAGAAAAAAAATCCCAGAAAGTGGAATAACATGCAACACGCGATCAGAATAGTTATAAAAGTAGCATAGAACGTTTAAATATCTGGCCAACCACTATATGTATATGGCCGGCAAGTAGGGAGTAGTTGCTATTTTCTGGCGGGATTGTTTTCCTGCGAAGATACATGTGTCATGTTAATATTTTTTAAAAATTTTAAAAAATAAAATATTATCTGAAAATATTTTTTAAAAAATAATAATTGTGATATGTGTTATTTCACAGTATCTTTTAAATGGTGTGTAACGGAGAAAAACACTTATTTATATCGATTTTTTTAAATACTAAAAATTAACTTTGAGTATAATTTGAATACTTATTTTTATATTAAGTCTTAATAATTTAATCAAACATTTTTAAATCATACACATAGTAATTATTTTAAAATAAAAATAATTTTATAAAGAAATATTTAAAAATAATTAAATGAATATTATTATTGACGAAAAAAATAAATATTATTAACATTTACTCAATAATGTATATAATAATAACAAATTGTTAATAAATTAATATTATTATAACTTAATTTTAATTTATTATTATAAATTACAAGAATTTATTAATATTTAGTTGAGATGATCAAAACAATTATAGATTAATAAGATAATTAAATAAATATCATACGAATATAGGAAAATAACATCAAATTTAATTAAAAAAAAGATGTGTTATAAGAATAGATAAAAAAAAATGTGCTACAATAATAGATAATGAATCCTATTTTCATATGAAAATGAGAAGAGTCTCGGTGATTAAGTTTGGGATAAAATATTACGAAAATAATGATTTAAATTTTGAAACGAAGAACGAATTAAAAAACTTCAGTAATTAAGAAATTTATTGTTATTTTTTGAGGTCTCGGGTTCGAACACTATAGATGTCAGGAGTATAAACATCTATTATCAAATGGTTAAGAGTCTTTGAACGGGCACTACTAGGAATGCTTATCGAATGAGTTAGGTAGTGTTCGACTCGTGTTCACTAAAAAAATTATAAAATTTATCAAAACAAAGGTATCAAAGTGAAACAAAAATATAAATCAATACTAA